TTTGGAGAGCTCGTGAAGAACCTCCAATGGGACTCTTGTGCAGTGATTGAAACATACAACAGTTTTTTGATCTACACAATCTTCAAAATCAATTTAAAGGAACCAGAACAATACCTCGCCACGTTGACCAGAAAACTGAACGTGCCTTCTGCAATTAGGCATCTAAAGCCACCAGCTCAACTCCGTCTCCTTGTCCAATCCTTCGTTTATTCACTGTAAAACTGAAGTTCAACCATTGCATTCATACAATTCGAAACTAACATTCTGAATAAACAAGATAGAAATGATATGACCGAACTTGAGAAGTCAGCAAATCTATAGCAAAATGGTGCTCAAACACAAAAATATAAGGATCCTTCCTTACTGCCTCTAAGAGTGCACTCTCTATTTCCTTCCTTGCCTGTGTGCTGCTCGACGGTGTTTTTGAAGAAAAGGTTCACCAAAAATAGGCACAAGGTTTCACAGCAGCAAGAACAAGAAGCAGATTTTCTTCGGCGGTCGAGAGAGTAGAGAGTTTTGAGAAAAGGCAAGATTGAGGGACGATGAGCTCTGGAGGCAAAAGTCTAGGGATAGAGATGAAGTGCGGCGGAAAAGATCAGGCAGGGACACAAATGCTTAGGGTTTGTTTTTCAGACCTTACCCTATTTAATTGTGACCATAATACATAAAATGACGTCGTTTTATCAACTTTGCAAAACGGCGTCGTATTGGACGAAAATGAAGGACGAATTCACTCTTATATATTTGTAGGGATGTAGAGACTAAATAAAGTTAGAAATTTGCAACAATCATAATATATAATTCCATAATATTGAAATTTGGAGAGGAAAAAAAAGAGAAAATAAATATTTTTCTTACTTCATTCAATTGTCCAATCCAAAAATTAGTTTCTTGATTTAATAAAAAGAATGTGCACTGTAATCTTGACTTTGGAGAATATCATAGAAATTTTGAAGGTTTGGAGTATCAAGTTTTTGGAATTAAAAAAGTCTGGAAGCTCGTGATCCAAAAAATTGGAAATTTGTGATTCAAACTTAATTTAGAAATTAATCATCGAATTAGGTAAAAAAAATCCGAATCCTTTTTTCTTGATATAACATACACGTGAACATCTATACGACCTTGTTTATTGAATTAAAGAATTGTTTTAATTTTTGGGTAATTCTACTTCCGCATTCCAACAACTTGTATCAAAGCAATCTAGATAGTTCACGTGCTTGTTATTTCTTAATCTTAATTGTATGTTCTAATCGAGTGATGTCTATGAATAATTTATTATACGGAAAATTGTAGCAGAGATCCCTAACCTTTTCAACTTTTGTAGCCTTTATTCTAACCTTCATTTTGTACTAGCGAATGTCCTTAAAATTTCATAAATATGAAATTAAAGTCCAAATGGATGGAAACTGTTAATTGACCAAAAAAGTCAAAATTTGATTAATTCTGATCAAATGAAAAGGGGGAAAATAATAAGTTTAAAATTATCACATTAAATAAATAAAATAAAAAGAAAAGGAAAGGAAAAAAGGTTTCTTCTTCATCCCGAGCCTATCCCTCACAATTGAAAATCAACCATCAACACCATCTGACACCATAGCCGGTTATATTCTTCCCCAAGACTCATTCACGCCCACCCCCAAACCTCACCCAAAACCAAACCGTCGCCACCAAATCCACAGCCGCCACCACCTCCACTACCATCTTCTCCACTACCAAATGAAACCCAAATAAAAAATCAAAATCAAAGATTTTGCAAAAATCAGCCTCTCTGTTGCCAGCACCACATCCCAAACCGTTAGATCTATGCATCACCGAAACGCCCTCATTCCCCTCTACACATCCCACCCAACTACTAGCTCTAACTCCACCAGATGTCGCCAGAATAACCACCCAAAATTCCCAAATCGCGAACTCAAAAACTGTCGACAACTTATCCTCTGATCACACCCACCATTATGGATTATCATTGGTCGACCACAATCTAGGTATCTAGTTTGATGATGGTATTTCAACAAAAAAGGGGGACAAACATCAATGTAGCTTTTGGGATTTCAAATCCCAATCTTTGGGTGGGTGGGATTTGATTTCTAGGTTTNGAAAAAGACACCTAATTAGATTTTGATTTGGAGGAATGGGTGGGGTAGGGTCGAGTGGAGTGGGGTTATATATTTATTTTTATTTTTATTTTTTTAATTAAAAATTTTAACTTATTTAATATGAGGAAAATGCATAGTACCATTTTGCCCATTTAATTTGGTAAAATTAAATCAAATTTTGACTTTCTTAGTCAACTAATGGTCAAATGGATGTTTTCCATTCATTTGGACTCTAGTTGCATATTTATGAAAGGTTAAAGATCTTCGCTAGTACAACATGAAGGTTAGGGTAAAGTCTGAAAAAATTGAAAAGATGAGGGACCGCTGCTACAATTTTTCTTTTATTATATGTTGATTGAATGGTTGAATTATTTTAAATTGTGATCCAATTATGTGTAGCCAAATTTTTATGTAATTCATTATTTCGAGTCTGTAACAAGGTAGGTGGATGACGACTCCATCATCTTAGTTTATTTCTTTTCATTTATATTCAAAATCGTGAGTCCACATGACATAAAAATTATGTAATTTAAATTCTTGCAATTTCGAATCCTGTTAATTGAATTAACGAGTGAGGACCAACTGACGATTATCGAAAATTACAGCAGAATAAAGAAAAAAAGGATATATATTTCCCACATATATGCGAGAAGAAGAGCGGCTAGAATTATGTTGGGGCTTCCCATGTAACTTTTTTATTTGACGATTGTATTAATTATCAAAAACCAAACCAACCATTCTGGGTACTGGGAAGATTTTTTTTATGGAATTTGATAAACATGCAACAGTCTGACGGCTGGGAAGTGGAATGTATTTTAATGTATTATTTAAAATTAAAATATTTAAAAGTTTGACCAAATCCAAAATGAGTTGATCATGTATATCCTACTTATATTTATATTTAGGGCATGTTTAATAGGTCATTATTTTTCATGAAAAATGAAAAACAAATTCCAATTTCCATTTTTACCTTGTCTGATACACTTTTTCTCCATGGAAAAAACTTTCTTGGTTTGGCTCACATGCTTACATTTTCCTTGGTTTTGAGGAAAACCAATTTCCATTCCAACTTTTTTTTTTGACAATTGGAAAAAATTCTAGACACAATGGTAAAAACATTTATCACTTTTATTGATAATTTCCATGCAAAACAAAGCTAAACGAATGGTATTCGGTATGATAATTTTAATTTTTTTTTTGACAATTGGAACAAATTCTAAACCCAATGGTAGAAAAATTATCACTTTAATGGACAATTTCTATAAAAACAAAGTCAAACGGATACCAAACTTTCAACATTTTTCAGGTGAAAAATTATACCAATCAAACACAATTAATTACAATTCTCACTAAAACATTTTCTAGGCAATTCAATTCTCTATAAAACATTTTCTTTTCACTCAAATACAATTAATTACAATTATCAGTAAAACAATTTTTAGGCAATTCAATTCCCTGTAAAACATTTTCTTTCCACCCATTTTCCACATTTGCAATCAAACGGACCCTTATTACTTGAGTAATGTTATTCATCCCCAGTGGGGATGGAAACACAGTATATATGTCTTTAAATGATAGGTTAAATAAAAGGTGAAATTAAATGACTTATTTAATTTCACATATCATTTAATGGCACATTGACATCATGTAGACTGTGTTTTCATCCTCAGTGGGGATAAATAGCATTACTCTTATTACTTTGAAAAAATGGATCCAGTTGTACTGTTCATCCTTTGGCCATTGTGTTCACATTTGACTGATTTGGAACTACGCTGTTCACAAAAACATCCTAAAAGAAGCCATGTAATAATTGTAATCTTCACCTGATATTTTTCTCATCAAACCCTACTTTCCTTCGTCCTCTAGCAAAATTCTGAAAACCATCGCAAATTAGCTCACTTTCCTTTAATTCTCTAACCGCCGTGAAACCGTGAAATTTTCCCAAAGCTGAAGTTCCTCTCTCTTTCTTATTGTACATTGTCTTCTCATATGTATCATAAATATCTCTCCGGATAAATAGAAGCAAAAGAAAACCCTCGAGAAGCTCAATCAACAACTGCAAATGTTTCTTCATCCTGATGTCTTCATCCTTCTACGATTTGGACCAGCCCTTCTTCATGTGGCTGTGATTTGGTGCACGTTTTCATTTTTATACCCTCAAATCGTGAGGTATGTCGATTCGAGATGTGCTTTAGTTTAGGGATCTTTCTTCAGTTTTTTTCATGTCTCTGCGAGTTGGTGACCGTTTTTTTTTATCTTTTCCTCTCATTTTTTTTTATCTACATGAAGTCGTATGCCAATATCTATGTTGGGTTTGGTTGAATTCTTTTTGGATTTTTATTTTTCTGTTTTGTATTTGTAAAGATTATTTGGGTTTAAAGGTTTGAGTTTTGTTTCACTTGCATCACCTTGTGATTGAGCTGAAAATATTGTGCATTAATAATATTCTATTGGTACAACAACATTTTTTGCACTCATGTTCAATTTCGAATTGGAGTATCTTGGCCATGGGTGGTTTTTGGAGGAGGAATGGTTCATTCATTGTGATAGTAATTGTTCTCTTTGGTAATTATGTTGTTTTTATTTTCTCATGGGATTTTTTTTTTCATTTCTTATGATTCAGCAGCTCTAATTTTGCCTTAAAAAAAAAAAAGCAGAGGAAGCTTCTAATGCTCAATAATGATATCAATGTTTGCACAGAAGAGAAGAACTGATATTCATTTCTTATGAAAACCGAACTTGTGTGATACAATACAAGTATATATAGATTGACTTACCAAATTAATTACAAGACAGCTCAACATTAACTACCAAATATGACAGCTTTATTACTAAATAACTTTAACTAATAGAATCATTAACAGAATTAGTTAGATGATCTAATACTCCCCCTCAAGATGGACTATGAATATCTTTAACAACCACCTTGGATAAGAGAGGAAAAAATGAAGAAGGAAGAGCTTTGGTAAATGCATCTGCAAGTTGATGTTAGACATAAGCTTAATAAACCCTTCAATAACTTTGTCTCGAATAAAATGACAATCAATCTCGATGTGTTTGGTTTGCTCATAAAAATGGGATTGGATGCTATGTGAATTGCAGCTTGGTTGTCGCAGAACAAAAGTGTTGGGGATGATACTTCCATTTGAAAATCTTTCAGTAGCAGGTGCAACCAAACTAGTTCAGAAGTTGTGGAAGCTAAAGCTCTGTATTCTACTTGTGCTGAGGAACGAGAAATTGTGGTCTGCTTCTTTGTTTAGGGAATCACCTAAGAATATGCAGAAACCAGTCACGGATTTCTTGGTGTCTAGAGATGAGCCCCAATTAGCATCCGAAAAGGCCTTTAATTGTGAAGAGGATGAGGAGGAAAAGAACAAACCTTGTCCAGGACAAGATTTAATATAGTGTAGGAGATGATGCACATCTTTCAAATGAGGTATACGAGGTTGAGCCAAAAATTGGCTGAGTTTGTGGACAACAAAAGTGATATCTGGCCGGGATAAAGTAAGGTAAAGCAGACGCCCAACTATTCGTCTATATTGAGAAATGTCAGCTAGAACTTAAAATTCATGTGCATTTAACTAGACTTTAGGATCCATGGGGACATATGTTGGCTTGCAAGCTAGATATCACGTGTCTTCAAGGAACTGGAGAGCATAATGCCTCTGAGATATACAATGCCTTTGGCTGATTGTGCGATTTCAAGACCAAGGAAGTACTTAAGATGCCCCAAATCCTTGAGTTTGAATAATGTGTGGAGAAAAGCCTTTAAAGAATGTATTACCTGACTGTTTGGACCAGTGATTATTATGTCATCCACATAGACTAATAAAGTAACAAATGAAGCCCCAGATCCTTGGTAAATAAGGAGTAATCTGCCTTGGATTGAACAAAGCCAAACTGAATAAGTGCTTGAGAGAACTTGGAGTACTATTGTCTCGAAGCTTACTTGAGACCATATATTGATTTGTGAAGTTTACAAACCAATTTCCCTTTTTGTGTGTGAGTTTCCTTGTGCACATTATAACTAAGTGGAAGATCCATATATACTTCCTCAAATAAATCACCATTAAGGAATGCATTGTTTACATCAAGTTGTGCCAAATGCCATTGTGACTTGAAGCAAGTGCTAATAGAACTTTAACTGTATTAAGTTTTGCTACAGGTGAAAAAGTGTCGTTGTAGTTGAATCCTTCTTGTTGTATATATCCTTTAGCAACTAGGCGTGCTTTGTGTCTTTCAATGGTACTGTCTGATTTGTATTTGAATTTGCAAATCCATCTACAACCAAAAAAATGTTTCCCAGTGGGCAATGAAGTGACTGACCAAGTTTTATTCAATTCAGTTGTCAAGACAGCCCTCCATTGTGGAAATTTCACAGCTTGATGATAATATTAAGGTTCAAATTAGGATGAAACATTTAAGATGAAATTTCTGTGAGTATGTGATAAGGAATTATAGGACAAGTATTTAGATATAGGATATGCACTGGTGCATGGAGGAGTTTCAGGATTAGAATATTTCTGGTATAAGAGATTGCAATGGAATTCTCTTAGATAGGAAGGAGGTTTTGGAGTTCTAATAGACCTTTTGAGGTTAGTTTTATCTGGAAAAGAATTGGAATGTTGTGGATCTGATCTGAAGTTTCAACATTATCATGGGAAGCAGCTAGAATATCAGTCTGTGTTATAGGATGATTGGAAGGTAGAGATTGAGAGATTGAAGAATTTTCAAGTGAAGGAATCGATAAGACAAGATCAGGGAAATGATCAATTAACTCATCCGAGGAAACAACAGAATGAAATTGAAAGATTTCTTCATGAAACAGTATATCTCTGGATATGAAGATCTGTTTTGATGTAATATCATACAATATGTAACCTTTCATGCCTGGTGGAGAACCAAGAAACACACAAACTTTGGATCTTGGTTGTAATTTGGTTCTATGAGCATTGAGTGTTTGATGCAAATACTAGATACCAAAACACCCTGAAATTAGAGTAGTCCGTTGAGTGTTTGTGTAGAATTTCATAAGGAGTATTATGTTTGAGAAAATGAGAGAGTGTTCTGCTGATAAGCTAGGCTGCAGTAAGGACACATTCATTATAAAATTGAATTGGAACTCTGGATTGAAAGTATAGTGCTCGTGCAACATTGACGAGATGTTGATGTTTCCTTTCTACCATTGAATTTTGTTGTGGTCTCTCAACACATGAAAATTGATGTAACACGGCTCTATTATTGAAGAATTCAGTAAAGTTCAGTTCAGGTGCATTATCAGATCTGAAAACCTTGATTCTTTCATTAAATTGAGTAGATATCATGTTAAAGAACCTTGGAATAATAGTGCTAACATCAGACTTTTGCTTTAACATATAAATCCATGTAAAGCGAGTGCAATCATCCACCAAGGTGAGAAAATAATTGCGACCAGCATGAAAAGGAACATGATAAGGTCCCCAAACATCACAATGTACCAAGTCAAATGGAAACTGAGACATGATTGTGAAAATCAAAAGATAATCGTCTTTGTTTTGCAAGGGGACAAATGTAACAAAGATCGGCTTTATTCAATCTAGATACATGACAATTCAAACGGTGTTTCAAAGTATCTAAACGTCTGAAAGATGGATGGCCAAGCCTGCCATGCCATATATGAGGTGAAACGGTATTTACATATGTTGCAGAGACAGAATTCAGATTGTTTTTATCCAGAACATAGAGGTCTTCAAACTGATCACCCTTGCCAATCATCTTCTTGGTGCTGTGTTCTTGGATAGTGAAGCAATCAGGAAGAAAGTTGATTGTGAGATTTGATCGACAAGTGAGTACACTCATAGATATAAAGTTAAACTTGAATTGAGGAACATATAGAGCATCCTTGAGAACAAGCATAGAATTCAGTCTAATATCACCACAGAAGTTCACTGGAATTTGAGTATGATTTGGTAAGGTAACCTTGGAATTTTGAATAGGTTTCATAGAAACGAAAGCATACATATATGTCTTGTAACACTAGAATCAGCTATCCAATATTGCGTAGATTAAAAGATAGGTCTCAATGAAATTGAGAAGCAAATACTTGCTGTATCAGAAGTGGTTGGATCATCAGTAGTTTTGACAAAAGAGTCAAATGATTGGATAACATAGACATAAGTTGTTGGTATTGGTTGGAATTGAGATTTTGAACAAAGTTTCCAATATCATTTTGTTGTTCATTCTGATTTGACACCTGATTAACAACAATGTTGCTACTGCTGTAGGCTGAGTTATCTCCGTTTCTAACTTTGTAACCAGGTGGGTAACTATGAATCTTATAGCATTTATCAACCATATCACCATGAAAGTTGCAATGGGTGCAGAAAGGTCTCTCTTTCTTGTGACCTTTGTAACCTCCATTGTTATAGTTATTTTGATTATCAGCATTACTATAGTTCCCAGAATTAGAAATTCCAGGACGTTTAGCAGTATCTGATTTAACAGCAAACGCCATACTTCCAATCGGATCTGAATTACAACCAGTTTGGCTAGTGATTTTCCTCTGATGTTCTTCTTGAGAGATTAAAGCAAAGACTTTATTTACAGATGGTAATGGATCCATGTTAAGTAGTTGTCATCGAACTTGTGAATAAGAATCATTTAATCCCATAAGAAAAGACATCACGTATTCCATCTGATAATGAGAACTGAGATTCTTCACACCACCACAAGTGCATTTGCCATTATAACATACCGGCCTATAATTGCTTAATTCGTCCCATATAGTTTTCAGTTTTGTAAAGTATATGCTAACAAAATTTTGATCTTGAGCTAAACTCATCAATTCACGTTTTAGCTGAAAAATTCTAGGTTTATTTTTTTGCTAGAAACGTTCCTTAAGATCAAGCCATATTTCATGTGTTGATTCAACATATATAATACTCGCAGAAATTTCTTTAGAAACAGAATTTAATATCCAAGAAATAACCATATTGTTATTTCTAGTCCAAGAGCTGAAGAGATCTAGATCAGTACCTTCTGGCTTTTCAATAGATCCATCGACAAAATCGAGCTTTTTTTCACGGACAATGAGAT